TGATGACCTCATACTGTTCCTGTAGTGCAAGTTTTGACTTTGCATCTGGAAGAATGTAAACAGCAACGACAGAAACACTGGAGAATTCTCTGGGCAGATAATATGGCCGATTTCTCAACATTAAAAATTCCACATCTGGTAAACATTGTCCATCCACTTTAGCTGCGTTTGAGCACCATTTATTTATGATACACAGTCCTCCTCCCCTCGTCTTTATCGGACTCTAGTGTCCTGTCTGCGCGGAATAAACTCCTCCCGTCAAGTGTTGACAGCTTCCTCAGGTACGCTGCTATACAGCCAGGTCTTTGTGAAGATGAGGGCACAGCAGTCTCTGCTTTCCCGTGGCTGAGCGAGCCTTAATCTTACTTTGGGCGGCAGTAGCTCAGTCCGTAAGGACTTGGCTTGGTTACCGGAGGGTCGCCGTTTGGAGTCCAGCTCAGACCACAGATATGGAGTGTTGACTGTTAGCTGGAAAGGTGCCAGTTTACCTCCTGGGCACTGCCGAAGGTAGCCTTGAGCAAGCTTCTGAACCCCCAACTGCTCGGGGTGCCGCACTGTGAGTGGCAGCCCCGTCACTCTGACATCTGTCCGTGTGTTGCTGCATGTGTGTTTATTTCAGATTGTGTGTGTGTATACTAATAACAATAATAATACCAGAGTGAAAAACATTGAATTTCCCATTGTGGGATTAATAAAGTACGTCTTCTTCTTCCTCAATTTTATTCTCCAATGACTGGACATTAGCCAGGAGTAGACTGGGGAGTGGGAAAGCCTTTGTTCCAATTTCACCTTTTCCAATATTGATTAATGTATTTCTGTCATAGGTGATCATAATTACACTAGTTTCTGTAAAAAAAGAAGTACAAAAAATGTAGCAAAAATTAAGGGAGCTACTGGTTGCTGCTTCTACAGTAGTTTCACTTTTTTCAGTGAGGGGTGCCACCGCCCCCGCAACCCTGTATGCAGGATAAGCGGTTGGCAATGGATGGATGGATTGATAGATGGGTGCCACCGCCGTAAAGGAAAGAGGTGTACTGGATTTACAGATTCAAGTGTCATTCCAACACGGCATCCGACTCAATAAACATTTTATCTAAAAGAACTTATTTTTACAATTGGTGAATGCCAAAATTGTTATTGACATTAAGGACCCTAATTAACAATGTAAGTGCATCACAAGGGTTGTACTTAGTCTGTGAATTAGTCATGGATGTGTTTTGGGGGTAACATGCAATAAACCAGATTGTCATCTCCCATCCCAAAAACCAGGTCTGCTTGCACCTTGGCACATTGCTATTATAACAGCAGATGAATAGCCCATTATAAAAAACATCAATTGAGTGATTGAATTGCAGATTCACAGCAGAGAGGGGGACAGAAGTGTGGACGTGACATAAAAATCATGAAACCTCGCGTTCCTCTGCAGCTCTGTGATTCCTCAGTGAAGTTCCAGACAGACAGACTCTGACTCTCCTCTATGAAATGTCTGGACCCTCAATGCGCTGCATTATTAGAAACTAGGATGAACCGGTCGTGGGTAACACCTCTTCCTTACAATGGTGTCTTTCCTGTGTTTTATTGTTGTATTGTTGAGTGTTTTCTTTCATGATAGGCTGCTGTCAGTCATTTTAAATGTTTCTATGTATGCTTTATTTATGCTATATTATGGGGCATTTAAGCAGCAAAACTAAACAGTGTATTATAAACATGACAGGACAGCACAGAGGAAACTCTCCTGAGGACGCAGAATTCAACTTTTAGCTTCTGAAATCATTTAGACCTCTGGATTAATCAGGATGACGGCCGCTTTCCTTCATACATCTTCAGTGTGTGAGATCTTTTGGATGTGTAGAAGAACACTGGACATTAATTAACACTGAATCTGGACCGATCTGGACCAATCCTGTCAGCGTGACAGGAGATTTTACTAAACTAATAAAGTTATGTTATTGTGCCTACGCACAGTGTCTCTTAATGGGGAGACACTTCACCCTGTTTAACCCATCCACTATTAATCACAATGTTCATTTTTATGACATAGCATCTTATTATTACTATTAACACAAATTGCGTCGGTCGAAAACGAGCAATGTTCTACCTACGACTGTCAGTGTCAGTATGATAAATAAAAGTATTCTAATTGTAGATCATAAAACAATATTATGTATGTCACAGCTCAGTAAGAGCAAAATAGCTATTTATTCAGGTTTTGTTAACAAAATGAACACTATGAGTGGTGAAAGTGGTTTTTCCAAACAGTGACAACAACCTTAACAAGAATATTCCTTTCTTCAATATTTTACTCTTCTGAAAACAATCTTCATATCTGATCACATTTACACACACACTGCCACTGCAAATTACACGTCTTAAAATAGCATATACCTGATACGCAAACCTTTCACACTGAATGTGGAACATGATTACAGCACCACCTGTATCATGCACAAATCTACCTATCTGTTCACACATCTTTCTACAAATGCCAGTGTTTGGCCAGGATTAATGCTCTCTCCTTTATTGCTGCTGCTGTGTAAACTGATCAGACAAGAGAGCGAGGGCGCTTTCCAGGGATTAAGGTGTGAATGCAATCTTCCACTGCTGTTATGTATTTTTAAAATTATGCGTTTTATTTTGAACAGCTTGTGTTTGCTAAAAAGCTTAGAAGATTACATTCTTAGGTTAAGTGGAATATGTGCTTGCATAGGTGCGACTGTGGTTCAGAAAGTAGTGTGTGTTGCCTGCTAATCACAAAGTTGATGGTTTGATTTCCAGCTCCTCTTGCCACATGTCCTTGAGCAAGTCACTGAACCCCAAGTTGCTCCTGATGGACACACCAGTCCCTCGTATGGCAGCTCCACCGCCATTGGTGTATAAGTGTGTGTGATCCAAGGTACATACACAAATGCCTCTTCTTCTCTTCACATAAGAAACCAGAGCGCATGTGTCTGCATGTGGAATCCCAAGAGTGGCTAGGCTTTCTTGAATTCCATACAGCAACCTGACCAGCTACCACAACAGTCTGGATCCATTTAGGAGCAGTAAATATAGCAGGTTTTAGGGGGTGTAACAATTTCATAACGTAAATAAAAATTAGGAGGGCCTGAGAATTTCCTTTCCCTTTTTATTAGGATTATTATTATTATTTTAAGTGTTTCATACTGGGAATGAAACATTGGGAGTTTGTGTATTCAGGGTTAATAGAGTGCATAGAGCTCTTACTCAACAGCATCTTTAATGTGTACAAAAGCACAGATTTACAAAATAACAAGAATACTGTTCTATTGTGCTGCTGATAGGCTGAAATTTCACCAGGGAAGTTTATGCCTTGGGGAGCATGATTATGCTCAGTAATACAGTCTGCCTTACTCCAACAGTCCACTGACTCCATGTGCGTGGCGTTATGGCTGCGCCACAGTTTTTTTTACAGCTACGTAGTTAAATTGTTTTGGGGTTTTTTGTAAGTTTTAACTGTTTATTGTTGATTTACAATTGGGAGTCTGCACAGGGGGTTTTATTTTGAAAATTGACTGAATTTTCTATGCCTTTCTGTGTCTGACTTCCTGCCTGGTTCGATCTGCTCTGTGCAGCTTGACAAGGCTTCCGTCAAAAATAAACTGGCTGCGTGTTGTTTGCGGAGCGGAGCAGAGAGCCACATCTGAGACACGCTGCGGCTGTGGCATTGACTAGAATGGCCGTGATTAGCTCTGGCAACTTCAGCACAGCTGTAACGTGAAACAGGCGGACTCAGTGGACTTTGAGGGTTAGAGGAAAGCTCTAATGTCAGCACATTCTCATCTCAGTGCATCAGCTTGACAAAGCGCAATTATTTGACGCTAAAGGTACCCTTCAGCGTCTGTATGAAACGCCACTGTTTGCTACGTCGCAGCAACACAAAGGAGGCTAACCCTACCTGCTAACATGTGCACAGCTGTAGGATTAGCCGGTTGTCATGCATAAAGTCGCTGACTTAGCTAATGTTCAAAATTAAAGGGGTTTAACCTCTGGAGAGCAAGTGTATGCTCAATATATTTAATGAATATCCACAGTACGACAAAAACAACCAACTTTGTCATGTGGTGTGTGGTGACAAAAACAAGAGAGATCATCAAGCATTGCACTGTTCCACAGATTTAAAAAAAAAGACCTAATTGATTTTTCAGTTCACTGTTGAATTGAGAGCCCTGTATTCAATTTCAGATACAATCCAACGAAGGTTAAAATCAAGGGCAACTGGACTTGGTTGAAGATACTGGAAGACGTTTCGTCCAACATCCAAAGGACTTCTTCAGTTCTGACTGACTGGCAGGGAAACTCAGCTATTTAACCTCAGTGGGGTCGTTGGCCCGGGTCATCGATACCGCTGGTTCGTTAGTGTTCCTTGTTGCTGTGACGACAGTCGTTACAGTCGTTAAGACTACCGGTGGCCAAGACTGAACGACCATCGTTGGTATCTTCACCTGAGGCCAATAGGTTACGTTTGTTGAGTTTCCTGGGAAGTGATGAAAGGACAGCATTGTAAGTGGGGGATAAGTGGTGGCGTAGACCCCCTCCCCTGTTCAATGACGGCTTCTCGACCCTGGTGTAGATGGCTTCCTTGACACCTCTTTCAAACCATCCATCTTCTCTGTCTAAAATGTGCACCTGGTGGTCCTCAAACAAGTGCCCTGTCCTTCAGATGTAAGTAGACTGCAGAGTCTTGACCTGAGGAGTTGGCCCTTCTGTGTTGAGCCATGCGTTTGTGTAGTGGTTGTTTAGTGAGTGAAGATACCAACGATGGTCGTTCAGTCTTGGCCACAGGTAGTCTTAACGACTGTAACGACTGTCGTCACAGCAACAAGGAACACTAACGAACCAGCGGTATCGATGACCCGGGCCAACGACCCCACTGAGGTTAAATAGCTGAGTTTCCCTGCCAGTCAGTCAGAACTGAAGAAGTCCTTTGGATGAGGGACGAAACGTCTTCCAGTATCTTCAACCAAGTCCAGTTGCCCTTGGTTTTAACCTTCGTTGGATAACTATGACCTGGATGACTGAGAATCTTCATAGACATCTTTCAGATACAATGTAATACAATTTGAAAGGCTGTATTCAGTTTCTATGTGCAAATTCATAATGGAATATCTGTCTATGCAGAGTATATTAATGTGCATGTTTAAGTGGTGTATATAGGATTACACCCAACAAAGTCAGTCTCTACCCCATGCACTAATTGAAACAAACTCAACACTTCCACTCCAAGTCTTTATTCCTAAGCAATATGCTGATTTGCTGCCTCTGGTTAAGTGTATTATTTTCCTTAGGCGAATACTGGATACCGTCTATGGTTGTATTGTAAACTGGAAACACACCTGGGTTTGAAGCTTTTCACTCCCTCACTGGTTGCTGCTCTATAGAGGGTATGCGCATGACGTCACAGAAAACAGTTACGCTCACTTATAGGCAGAAAGACGAGCAGCAGTGTTAGCTAAGCTAAAACACAATCAACACACCTAAAATGGGAAAGAGCTTGACCACTGGTTCTTTGCTAAGGAGTAAGGATCGCTGTCGAGTCCGACTGCCTTTAATTTGACCAAATAATCACTTGTTTTACTCCCGGCCAAGGTAACAGATGTTTTGTCACTCAGTCCAGCGCATTCCGGAAGGGGAAGTGACATCAACGCATACCCTCTATTGAAACACCATGCTACTGCTTATGCACTGAATGTAGACATAAGCCATTTAAACCTTTTTGAACAAACAACTAATGGTGTTGTTTTTCTATAGTTCATAATGACCTTTAATACTACTAAACATTTAGAACACACTGCCAACTGGTTACAGCTTCTTGGTTCCCACCCAATCACGACAATGAAGTTAGCAGTGGGTTCATTCTATTCATGTTTGCATGCGACCAATCCATACCTTAAGACTATGCTGACCAGCCATAAAATACTGCTGGGGTGACCAGTTGCTAATGGCTCATAATGAAGCTGCTTTCCATCCTGGACTTTTTGAAACTGGTCTCTTGTCCAACTTGTCCAAATTCTTGATTGCACTGTTAGCTTTCCTCACTAAGAGCTAAGTTACACTCTTCATGTGAGCTGAGGTGGAAAGGTTGGTTTATCAAATTATAATGTACAAGTTGCATGTGACTTAAATCCACGACTACATTTTTGAAATTCGGTTAAAATCTGAGACACATTTGGATGGAAACGTAGCTATATGAACACCAGACTCGGTTCAGCATTTAAAACCATAGTTCCCTCAAGGCTCATCACAAAGCTCAAGGACCTGGTATTAAACTCCTCACCCCAGGGCTGCGTTTGGAGACCCCTGCTGCAATCCCTGTACACATACATGTAGCCACTTGCGATTCCGACCATTATCAAGTATGCTGACGACACAGCTGCGGTGGGCCTGATCACAGATAACAATTAAATCGCCCACTTTTTTTAAACTTAGGTACCTGATCCATCTCCATAACATCTGAGCACAATCCACGAACTGATGAAGACCATAAGATGCAGATGAAAGCTCTGCAAAAAGCTAGTGAGTGGACCATGAGTTGACCTATGCAGACTTTTAGTGCAGTGTTTTCATCAGTGCATCTACATTTATTTCTGTAAAACCTGTATTTAAAGTCACACTTCACTTTAAGTCCCCCTATATATCATTTATAATCAGCATATAAACATGTCGTACATTTTAATAGATTTCTGACTGTAATGTAGCTGTAGTCAGATCTTCACTCACAAGCTTGCGGTGAGGCTGAAAGAGAAATCGTTATCCCAACACATGTATCATTTACCCAGGTGTTCAATCTGCTATGTTTCACGGAGGGAAGCTTACAATGCTTAGAAAACCAAGGGTCTCATCTCTATCTCTAGTAACAAATCAAAATCCCCAAATTTACAAATATTCCTTTAACTCGTGAATTGTTCAGTGGCAATGCTCACACCATTGCAGTGTGTCTCAATGGACGCCTGTCTGATCAGGTGGGGGAATAGGTGGCTCTTAACGCCTGACTGCTGCGATTGGCCGACGCTGCCTTGCTGATATTTTGCTCCCCTGTGTCCTTCGTCGCCCTCCTCCTCTTTGTCAGCACTGGCCATGTTGCTGTTGACATCTGAATCCAGATCAGTGCCTGTAAGTGCTGGACAGTCTGTGGAATACTCAATCTCCTCGACACATGGAGGCTCATCATCTTCAAAACAGCTACATGAGAGAAGAGAAGAGGAGAGTGTTATGTTGCGTTATTGCCAAAGTCCATATAGGCAAATCCCGCCACTCAGCAGCCATCTTGGCAATGCCTCCGGGCAGCTATTTCAGAAGACCAGGCCCCTGTCTGAATGAAAAAAAAGCAGTAGAAGTACAACCCACAGGTATAGCATGTTCTCAGAGTGGTGACTGAAGAATATGAAGTGCTTACATATGACAGAAGTGTTGATGCCATTAACTAGTTTTAAAAAAAATATAGAATCAACTGTGGAAGGCTGATCCATAGCTGATCCCTGCTGGGTCCCTGCTCTGCACTTGGTTGGTATGCGATCCCCTTGATGACATAGTGGATACAGCGCTCCCTCGTAATGCCCCTAAGCTCCATGTGCGGAAATCAGTTGCAATGCTTTATCTTTCAACCAGGAGGAGTAGTAATTATGGAAGGTCAAACAGTGTGCTGGCTATCGGTAACAGACATTTTCAATGACCCAGAGCAAACACTAAGATGGCTGAAATGATGTTCGGGAGAGATTCCACCACCTTCACGGACACCTCTACTTGGTAAGACAACCAGAACATGCGGGAAGCCAACATCCTTTTAACGCTACCTCCAATGAAATGCTCCCGCAGCCCGTGGTGTTGTTGTTCTTTCTTTCGCTAGTCCAAATATAATTTGTTGTATTTCGACTTCAAAGACGTCAGAAACGTTTTGAAAAATCTTGGGGGGGGGGAGATGACCATGGAGGAGGTGAGGTTAGGAAAGCAAATTAGAGATTGTGATGGAAATTAGATATTTTACATGTGTTTACTGTTACCTTTAATGCTGCATTAATATAGGCGTGTGTTTCACTGTGTGGTGTTTGATCATTTTATTATATTGCAGCGAGGTGAAGGTTCCCATGGGAAAGTAGCTCATTAGAGGGTTTCCTTATCTGACCGTCCTTGATAGGCCTTCATCTCAGGGCAGTAGGCTTCTACTCCCTTCCTCCCTAAGAGATCTGCATAACAACATTAGAATATAAAGACACGTGTTTCGTCACTGGCTCTTTGTCTTACACTCTGCAGACTGGTTGCACTCTATATGTTTGTCTGACCCTCTGCAAAGAATAAAACTCTTAAAAGACGTCAGATTTGAACTCTTTATTTCAGAAGACTCACTTGTCTCTCCTCCAGGTCCCCACAAGCCGAGTTAGCATTCTCTGTGCGGACTAAACCCTTTACTGAGGCTCCCGTCCTTTTACAGCCAGACACTACTGGGCAGTTTGTGGTAGAAGTTAATACCTCAGATATCGGAGTTGGAGCTGTTTTTTCCCAAAGTTCAGTTGTTGATGAGAAATTGCATCCCTGTACTTTTCTTTCTCATCACCTTTCCCCTGCAGAAAGCAACTGTGATGTCAGGGGCCGAGAGCTCTTAGCTATCAAAACAGCGCTGAAGTAATGGCATCACTGGTTGAAAGGCCATTTGTGGCATGGACAGATCATAAAAATCTTGAAAATATAAGTTCTGCCGAACGCCTAAATGCCTGCCTAGCTAGATGGGCTCAGTTTGGCCGTTTAAGTTTCACCATTGCTTACAGACCTGGCTCCCGTAATGTGAAAACTAATTTTCTCTCCTGAGTGTTCAGTAAAGACGAGAATCCCCAGCCGTTACTGGACTCTGGTGCGGTCACTGGGAGGACTGAAGAAACGATCAGAAAAGCACAGAGAAGGATGAACCTGACCCAGGTAACGGTCTTCCTAAACACCTTTTTGTTCCCTCTTCTGCTAGATCGGATGTAGTACGATGGGCTCATGCCTCGAACCAAACCTTGTGCCGCAAGGAAGGGGTGCACTGAAAATGTTTTTTTTTGGCCCGTTTGCATTTGTATTGTTTACTACTGATTGTGATATTATTTAGGATTTCATCTGGTGTTTACAGTGAGTTGAATTTTTCTAACCAAGATGTTATGGTGTATGATGCTACCAGTCCATCAAACTGAAATATTCTACATGTCTGTAAAAATATTCTATACACATTTTTCCTGAATTCACCCTGATGTATTTGGTGTCTTTGGACGCCTAGAATTTCAAAATGAATTGTGTGGGTCTGAAGAAAGTTAGTTTGCACAATCACATCCAACAACTTGTAGTTTTTGAATATGTTTTATGGTCAGGGTCAGTGTGACCTTGCACTCAGTTACAGTCACTGTGATTGACAGCTGACAGAAAGCCAGTTATCTGATTATACACACACCTTCTGGGATGCTTGGTGGGTGCATGTGTCAGCGGGTGTGTGTGGGAGAGCATGTAGAAACACACAGGGATGCTGTTGGGACAGTGAGGACGTGACACGCACACTGATCTAGGGCTAAGAGAGACAAAGGGAGGGGGAATGGGGGGAGGAACGAAAAGGGAGGGAACAGAAAAGAGAAAAGGCAAGGGAGGAGAGAGACAGAATGAGCAGGAGTAAAAGAGACAGAAGGGACAGAGAGTGTAGGTCTAGCATATAAATGACAACTTATTTATTTATGTGTGTGTGTCTGTGAATGGCAATAAAGCAGGTTAGCTTGTCTACAGTGTGCAGTCAATACACTGCAAATGCTGATTCTCTGAGTCTCTTAATTATGAGGTTGTTTTTGTGTTAGCTCTAAAACAAAAAAAAGAGAATTAAGATGCTTTTATGGATAGACACAATTATTGTTGACCCCAGCGTTTTGATGGCCCATTGCATCATCCACAGAAATGACAACCATGGATCTGGCCAAACATTTCCAATCTCGAGCACTTAAAGTGTGTGTTCTGGCCCCACTAGGTAGAAAACAAAAATATCAAAATACCAGACCAGTTCAACTGGTATTTGATAATGTGCCAACAAGATGGCTCTGCGGATGGCCTCTGTGCACCAAAACACAGGTCGCCCTCTGTGTTTTGGTGCGTGTTGGTTTGTTTTGTTTTGTAAATTCAATTCCTCTTCGAGGGAACTCGAAGGGGAATTGACACTATGGGAACGCCTCTGGGCGTGGAAGGTCTGAACTATGAATGAAACTACTCCAATCCTATTGGTGTTACTAGAACGGTAGTGTGTGATGGCTCTCGAGGGGGCTGCCTGCGACCGTTGTGAGGCCCTGCCCCTCTTATTAGAGGATGGTCGGATGCGCTCCCCCCGTGGCACAGGCCCCGCGGTCGTGGCGGCTCTGATCCTGGGGATCGCGACGCGAGATCGCCGATGGTGCCGGAACAGCTGAGGACTCGTCCCCGATCGGGAGCCCGTTTCTCGGTTTCTCCCACTCGAGGGGTGAGTCCGGAGGAGCTAGATGTACTTAGCATGGAGAATGACTTCGGGGAAACGGAACGTCATCAGCCCTCTCCAGGATACGAAGAGTTGTTAGAAGTGGTGATGCAGGTTGTGGCCAAGCTGCAAATTGATTGGCCACAGGCGGTGCAGCAGCCATCGGTGGGCAGCAGACCAGACGAGCGGTTTCTGCAACACCGAGCGCCACCCCCGTGTCGGCCCCTACCATTTTTTCCGGATTTACACAACGGGTTGTGTAGATCGTGGAACAAACCCTTCTCTGCGCGGCTGTCTACGTCCCCCCGGCTACGTGACGGAGATCAGACAGCACGGTTATGGAGCGATGCCACAAGTGGAGGAGGCACTGGCTAGCTACCTCTCTCCCAACCTCGCCTCATCCGGATGACGTCCGATTTGGTGGGCAAGGCCTACATGGCAGTGGGTCGAGCTGGTGCCAGCCTGCACATGGCTGTCTTGCAGGCATACCAGGCCGATCTCCTTAGGGACTGTGACGTAGGGGGAGGTCCCTCTGAGGAGGACCTGACTGAGCTTCGTAGAGCGACGGACTTCCCCGTGTGACCAAGGAAATGGCCCGTTCCATCAGCCGATCCATGGCGGCTTTGGTGGCTACGGAGCGCCATCTGTGGCTCAACCTCTCGGGCATCCAGGGGAAGGAGAGGGCTTTTCTACTGGACTCGCCCCTCTCGCCTTCTGGCTTGTTTGGCAAAGCAGTGGATGCTGTCGTCAACAGGTTCCAGCACGCCAAAACTCAGGGAGAGGCGTCTCTCCCTGAGTCTCCCCCGCCGGTCAGACTCCAGGACCACGACGGCTCAGGAAAGTCGGACGCAGCCTTCGTCCAGCACGTACCGCCGCAGCCAAAAGCAGAGCATCGCTTCACGCGATCCCCCTCAACCAACCTGGGATGCAAGACGGCGCTCTCGCCCACAGGAAGAGGTCCTGAGACTTCGAGTAGGGGGACCCACCACCACCCTCCACTTCCTCCCCCTCCCTGCCCCCCTTCCCCTGAGAGAGGCCGATTGAGGTCCCCTCTCTCATGGTGGCTCCAGCAACAGGCGTTGTTTCTCCCACCGCTTCAGCGCTCAGGACGCGCTAGCCACCGGCAGGCCCTCACCAATCTATCCGGCAGCCGGAACACGACTCACAAACCGTGGTTCATCGGCGAGCTTTGCCTGGTGGTCCTCTGCTTCAGGGCGCCACCGGGGATTCCCGCGTGACACCAGCCCCTTGGCGAATTTCGCGGAAGCTTGGTGAAGGTTGGCGAACATTTCCCCATGGGTCCTGCGCACAGTAGTAGATGGCTACAGGCTGCAGTTCCGGGTTCGCCCCCCTAGATTCTGCGGGATGGTCAGGACTGCAGTACACGCAGAACAGAGCCAGGTGTTGGGACAGGAAGTCCACTCTCTGCTAAAGAAAGGGGCCATAGAACTCATTTCCCCGCCCAGAGAAGCCGGCTTCTACAGCCGATACTTCCTGGTTCCCAAGAAGGACGGAGGATTGCATTTGGATCTGCGGTCCCTGAACGAATCTCTGAGGAGATTCAGGTTCAGGATGCTTACCATCCCCACCATCATCAGTCACATCCAATCCGAGGATTGGTTTGTCACGATAGATCTGCAAGATGCTTATTTCCACATCTCCATCCGTCCCTCTCACAGGAAGTTCCTGAGGTTCGCCTTCGGGGGCACGGCTTACCAGTATCGGGTTC